GTTACACACCATCACAGTTGTTTTGCCCTAGAATGGCGAGGTAGCGTCTTGGCCTGACTGGTTGACCATGACAAGATTCTTTCTTCAAGGACAGGAAATACATTTTACATCAGGCAATACATAATTTATAGGTTGACCTGGGACCTCTTTCAAAAAGGATCTGTGAGTGCTAACCAGCCTGGTATGTGGAAAGATCATGGTCCTTGGAGTCAGACTGTTTCAGGCACTGGGAAGCCTTGCAGAATTTTTTTGACTTTGAGCTTCACTTTGCTCCATATAAACAATGCAGGCCCACCCCTCAGAGTTGTGAAGATTTAATGAGCTAATCGTGGACGCATTGAACAATGGTACCACATCAGATAGGGACAGTTCACTCAGCAGTGAAGCCCACATTTTTCTTTTTTTTTTTAAAGCTTCAAAAGCAAAGCAAATGCACTTGGTTACATAATTGGCTTAAAGGTGACTGAGGCTGTAAATTATGATGGGAGAAGAAAATGATGCCAAGGTAGTGTCAAGTTTGAAAAGCAGTGGTTGGCATTCTGTGACTAAAAGGGGACACGTTTACAATGAAAGTCCAGGAGATGGGTTTGGAAATGGAGTCTCCCTTCCCTGGCCCTCTCACTGCTCTGTGTTCACATACTTCCTTTTTTTTTTTTTCTCTGAGGTTCTAAAACAGAAACAAAACATAGGCCCTGCAAGGAGCTTTTGAATTCTTTCTAAAGAGGAAATTGACTTTACCTAACCAATGCACTTCCTGTGTGTGCCGGATCCGTGTGAGCCGCATCCGTTAAAGAGCGAGGCGGGCCCTGGCTGGTATAGTGTTCAGCTGCAGAATTTCCTCTTCGTAGTAGGGGTGCAAACTATATCACAGTGTTCCGACATGTGTAAGGTCTGTCTTAGTCTTTTGGGGATCTTGTTAAAAATGCAGGTTCTGCCGAAACCGGTTTGGCTCAGTGTATAGAGCGTTGGCCTGTGGACTACCAGGGGTCCCGGGTTCGGTTCTAGTCAAGGGTATGTGCCTTGGTTGTGGGCACATCCCCGGTAGGGGGTGTGCAGGAGGCAGCTGATGGATGTTTCTCTCTCATTGATGTTTCTGGCTCTCTATCTCTCTCCCTTCCTCTCTGTAAAAAATCAATAAAATATATATTAAAAAAATAAAATAAAAATTCAGGTTCTGCCAAAACCGCTTTGGCTCAGTGGATAGAGCATCAGCTTGCGGACTGAAAGGTCCCGGGTTCACTTCCGGTCAAGGGCATGTACCTTGGTTTCGGGCACATCCCCAGTAGAGGGTGTGCAGGAGGCAGCTGATTGATGACTCTCTCTCATCGATGTTTCTAACTCTTTGTCCCCCTCTCCCTTCCTCTCTGTAAAAAAATCAATAAAATATATATTTTTAAAAATGCAGGTTCTGATTCAGTAGCTCTGGGTGAGATCTGAACATTTTTGCATTTTTGATAATATTCCAGGTGATGTTTCTCCCTTGGTTCTTTTAGTAGTCTTAAAAGCATACTTGATTAACTTTATTTTTATTCAGTAACATTTATTTGCTTAGTACTGGTATGTTAGAGGCTTATTCCCAAGGATCCCACAGTTGAGTGATGAACCAAATCAAGTACCTTTTTAGTTTGGCTCTTTAAAAAAAAAAAAAAAAAAAAAAAAAAAAATATATATATATATATATATATATATATATATATATATATATATATATATAGTATAGTTGATTTTTTACAGAGAGAAAGGGAGAGGGATAGAGAGCTAGAAACATCGATGAGAAAGAAACATTGATCAGCTGCCTGCAACCAAGGTACATGCCCTTGATCAGAATCGAACCTAGGACCCCTCTGTTCACAGGCCGACGCTCTTATCCACTGAGCCAAGCAGGTTAGGGCAAGTTTGGCTCTTAAAAAAAAAAAAATCAACAAAACAACTTTGACTTTAGTTTATCTTATAGAAGTTCTGTAGTAATTTTACAGAGATTAGTTAACAATTAAATTTAAATTAGGATTTCTCCTTTACTTTATGATTTAAGGAATTCTGTTACTGCACACATACCAGCCACTGTAACTCCCAGTAAGGTGAAAAAGAGAAAAAGTTGTGTCCATGATCTGTCCACCCCAACCAATCAAACTGTTCTTTTTATTTATTTTTTATTTATTTTTATTTTTTATTTCTTTGTTGTCCTTGGGCAGGGGCATCTTTTGTTTTTATGTGGTTGTGAACATTTCTGTAAAGCAATTTTCTATGTCTGCTTTTTAAATTTAGTATCAGAGAATAAATAGAAATTGTTCTAAATTTCTCTTTTAGCTATTGAAATAAAGTACTTTGGCTTGGTCGGCGTGGCTCAATGGTTAGGTGTTGACCTATGAACCAGGAGGTCATGGTTGGATTCCAGATCTGGGTACATGCTCCGGTTGTGGGCTCCATCCCCAGTAGCAGGCATCTAATCAATGATTCTCATCATTGATGTTTCTATCTCTGTCTTCCTTCCTCTCTGAAATAAAATAAATGAATAAATAAATAAATATAGTGTTTTCTCCATATTTTGATATATTCTTTCTAGGTGGATTTTCTTGGACTTCAAACATTCTTGCTAAGATAAAGTTAGCAAAAAGGGTTAGGGCAGTAAACATAATATGTCATATGAAACTAGTATGATAAGTTAGCGAGTAAAGTATGTGTTTGCTTTAATTCAACTATGAATTTTGGTTTATAGTTAGAATTTCCTTTTTTGTTGTTAATCCTCACCAGAGATATTTTTTTCATTGCTTTTAAGACAGAGTGGAAAGGAGGAAGGAAAGGAGGGCGGGAGAGAGGGAGAAAGAAACATTGACTGATTGCTTCCTGCACATGCCCTGAAGAGGGGACAGGGATCGAACCTGCAACTCAGGTACATCCCCTTGACTGGGAATGGATCCTTCAACCCTTTGGTGCTTGGGTTGATGCTCTAACCCAACTGAGCCACCCAGCCAGGGCCATGTTATATGTATTCTTAAAAAAAAAAAAAAAAAAAAAAAAAAAAAAAAAGTGAAATATATTTAAACATTTCCATAATAAGAAAAGAGTTTGAAATTTAAAGTATTTCTGGAATACAAAAATATTGTAAAGATTTTCTTTTTAAAAAAATATATTTTATTGATTTTTACATAGAGGAAGAGAGAGGGATAGATAGTTAGAAACATCGATAAGAAAGAAACATCGATCAGCTGTCTCCTGCACACCCCCCACTGGGGATGTGCCCGCAACCAAGGCACATGCCCTTGACCGGAATCGAACCTTTTAGTCTGCAGGCCAACGCTCTATCCACTGAGCCAAACCGGTTTCAGCAAGATTTTCTTGTTTTACCTCTAAGAACAGCAGTCGCCAACCTTTCGGACCTCATGAACCACCAGTAGTCCCCAGACCACCGGTTGGTGACCGCTTCTTAGAGCAGCGGTCCTTAGTCTGGCTCTGTGGATGTAGAGCAGTGTTTCTCAAAGTATGGGCTGCAGAATCACAGGTGTGCTTGTGGAAAGCAAGAACTCCATACGCTCCTCTTGCCCCCCTTCTCCAAGCTTCTAGTTGAGTAGGTCTGGGATGGAGCCTGCAATCTGAATTATAACAGGCAGCCTGTTTGATTCTTCTGCAAACCAACTTTCAGACTTACTGCTCCCAGCAAGCCATAGTATCCGGGGAGCCAAGGCCAGGGCCACCAGGTTGTAGCAGGCCCTGGCATAGAGCAGGACCATGGCACTGCCCATTGCAGCTGCCTGACACACACTGGTCCCCTTGGCCTCCAGGTAGATGCTGGTGGAGGGTGCCTGCTGGGCAACAAGGCAGAGGCAGGCGGCAAGAGAGAGTGCGCAGATAACAAACAGGGAGTCGCTCACCAGGACACGCACCAGCAGGAGGGCCCAGGGCTGTGTCCGGATGGCAGGACAGCACACCGTACAGCACATTCACCAGCAGAAAGAGCAGCGAGGCCCCCACGAAGGCCCCTCCGACAGCCAGCAAGCCTCGGCTCATCTCTGGCCGACGTTTCGTCTTGACTTTGAACATCACCTGGGCAAAGTAGAGGTTCATAAGCATCAGTGTGAAGAACTGCAGGCAGACAGGGCAGCAGTAGAGAAGCCAAAAGGGCAGGGGCCCCAGGCGATTGGCTCGCGGGGGGGGGGGGTGTGGGGGTGTTATCTCAGAAATAGAATAGTATGCAAGGCAGTCCAGAGCAGACAGAGTGCCAGGAACACCATCTGGTAGCTGAGACGCTTGTGCCTGTGCAGAAGCATCAGTCAGAGCTGGACATAAACGGAGAAGAGCAGAACATACAGAGTGGTGTAGGCCGCAGTCAGCCCCAGGGTCACAGCCGGTGGCAGTGCAGGCACCAGGCCAGTCAGGGCGCTCTCCATGTCAGGGAGGGAGGCCTGAATCCTGAGGCAGAGATGGAGGGGCTAGTCCGCCACCTATCAGGCGCAAAGTCTCCCCAAGCCGCACGGCCACCCTTACAGGGGCCCTTATCCCTCCCACTGCGCCGAGACAGTGTTCCTGCGAGGGGGAGGCACTCCGCTTATCTCGAGGCTCCCCTGATGGTGCGGGGAGGGTGCCCTGATGCATCTAAAATTATTTTTTACTGAAATGTACTATTGCCACAAATTACTTTGTGCAGATAATATTTTCTAACATTTATTGAGAACAATGTGCCAGTTGTTTTACTAAGTACATCATACATTTTTATTTAATCCTAGCAGCATTCCCATGAGGTAAGCACAAGGAAATTGAGGAGTGGAGTGCTTAATTGCCTTGTCCACACTGACACAGTTTGTGAATAGTGGAGCCAGGGTTTGATGCCATTCTGTCTCACCGGAAGGCCAGTTCTGTGCAAGTCTGCAAGTTTGTGCAAATGAATCACATTTGGCTTTTCAGTGAATAGACGATGATGTTTGTGTAGCACCTTGAAGTTATCATAGTTGTTGCTTGTGGATTAGCCTTTTTTAGTGATTCTGAGTTTTGTTATTTCTTTTCAGATCAAAGAGAGTGCATCACAGACCAGAGATGTCCTCAAACAACATTTTAATGATTTAAAGGGAACCCTTGGGAAGCTCCTGGATGAGCGACTGGTGACCCTTTTGCAAGAAGTGGATACTATTGAGCAAGAGACCATTAAGCCACTAGATGATTGCCAGAAACTCATAGAGCACGGAGTTAACACTGCAGAGGACTTGGTCCAAGAAGGTGGGAGTCTCCCATTAAATGTGGCGAATTCAGAGCAACAGAGCTCCTTTCTCAGGATACCAGCAGGCTCATTGCCATCTGGGGTGCTTACGATGTTTCTGCCATGGGACAGTTTATAATGTAGGATGACAGATATACAGTGAGGTATCTCAGCATAAATGCAATTAAAGTGGTACTTATAATCATTTACAAAACAAAGAGTAAATGATTTTTTTTCACATGGGTCCATGATATTACATTCATTGTTAACAGAGCAATTTTAAGGTCATTTTGAGTCTTCGTATCTTTTTTAGAGTGTTTGTGAATTATAGACTTTAATTCTCTTGTTCTTTGTATGTTTTTTATTGATTGTTAAAGAGGAAAGGAGATGGATAGAGAGATAGAAACATCCATGAGAGAGGAAAATCATCAATCGGCTGCCTCCTGCACGCCCCTTACTGGGAATGGAGCCTGCAACTGAGGCATGTGCCCTGATCAGCAATCAACCAGGGACCTCTTGGTTCCTGAGCCGACGCTCAACCGCTGAGACACACTTGTCTGGGCAATTCCATTGTTCTTTTTAATAGGTTAACAAACATGATTGGTGTTTACTTCTGAAATTGTAGTTGTTATATTTTTGTCTTTAGCCAATTATTTTGGTTGAAACATGCCCAGATCTAGCCTTGCTGCCTCCCTCCCTCCCCTCTCCCTCCCCATAAGCCTTTGTCAGGTACATTAAATTAAAATTCTGTCCTTTGGGGTTCACATGTGAGTGAGGCATACATGCTGAGAGAGATCTGAGGCCTTACGGGAGCACAGAAGGGAGATATTTAACAGGAAGAGTGTAGGATAGCTTTTTGTAAGAGGAGTTTTGCAGAGGAGCTAACAGCCAGAGTGGAAACAGAAGTAACATCACAAGTGAAGGGAGGGGCATATCAGGGATCTTTTTGAAATAATTTAGGCAGCAGAGTTACACAGTCAAAGTTGCATTTTTTAAAAATAGCACAGTCTACAGTTTGGAAACTGGGTTCAAGGTTGTAAGACTAGAAGTGAAGAAAATAATTAGAAAGTTGCAGCAGTAATCCAGATAGGAAGGAATGAGAGTAGAGACAGGAGAGCATAAGGTAGAGCTGGTTTTAAGTTTTTTCAGAGATAGAATTATTGATGATTTTACTGATCACTAAGAGTTGGTTTCCAGTGATTGTCTGGATACAGGTTGGAGGAAAAGGCAAAGGATTTAAGATGACCAAAACCAGCCTGATATTGGGTGTCAGTAAATTGTACTGACATAGGAAATGAAGGAGGCGAGTTGGGCTCTGGTGGGTACTTAGGCATTTGGTTTGGGCATGTTGAATTTGAAGTGCTTAAGATGAAAGAGGGAGTTGGGAGTGAGGCTTAGGAGAGAGATAATATCTGGAGATGTTAATATGGCAATTAATGGCATATACATCAGATCTGAATCAATGGGAATAAGAAATATCATCAAGAGATAGCCTACAATATGAGATGAGAAGGCAGCAGATGGTAAAACTCAAAAGGACAGCAACATTTAAATAACTCTGGGGGGAAAGAGGCAGGAAAGGCGAAGAACACCATCCATTCTGCAGACTGAGTGCAGTCAGGGGCAGAGGATAAAAAGTGTGTGGCTCACAAGTCTGTGATGTCAACTAGAAATCAGACCCGTTTGGTCTTAGTTGGAATATGGTACTAACATTATCTTCACATGCTAAGTGTTATTTTAGTCTTATCTTCAGTGAGAAGTGTTTATTTGCTGTTCATCATAACAGTGCCTTTGAGACAAAAATTTTTAGCAAGACCACAGAATGTCTTTCCCTGGAGGCTGTGAATTTGGAAACAAACCCAGAAGCAGTTCATCACAGGTCAGGAGCGTACACCCATCACCCCGAGGACTGAGATGTTTTTAGTTTAGAAAATAAATCCTTCGAGGCACATACATGCGTGTCACAGCATCTGATGCTTCAACTTTTTTGTACTTCAGAAATACTTTAAATTTCAAACTCTTTTCTTCTTTCCCAAGGGATAAAGACTTATTTATGGAATTGGGAGGATTTTGACAGTGTTCAGTGTGTCTCTGTTTTCCTTTTGGTGAAGGAAACTTGAGTCATTCCAAGGTGCATTCAGATGGAAAAGAGTTCTGGTGGGGCTGTGGAAGGACATAGAAGTAGTTGTGTTTTTACTGCCTTTATATAGCATTTTCTTTTTATTCTGTTGAGTAATTTCTAATCTAATAGATGATAATTTTTTAGGAAAACATTATGATTTATTTGTTGTTTTTTTTAATCTTTACTGTTGAGAGTATTACACGTTTCTTTCCTCCTCCCCCCATTTGTTTTATAAGATCCCGTGTGCCCTACTCCTTCTGGCTCCTGTTGGTGTTGATAAAAGTTTCTGAAGAAGAGAAAGAAAAAGCCCCTGTGTCTTCTGCTTTGCATAAAGTTGATTGACAGCCATATTTCCTTGTATAGAACAGAACAGACATTTCTGGCGGGATGTTGCCATTGTGAACCCCTTTTCCTCCCTTTTTAAAAAAAAAATATATTTATTGATTTTTTTACAGAGAGGAAGGAAAAGGGAGAGTTAGAAACATTGATGAGAGACATCGATCAGCTGCCTTCTGGGCTCCCCCCTCCCCTCTAGGGATTTGCCCACAACCAAGGCACCTGCCCTTAACTGAAATCGAACCTGGGACCCTTGAGTCTGCAGGCCAGTGTTCTATCCACTGAGCCAAACCGGTTAGTTAGTCTCACTTCTAAAATAGTGTCTGCTTTTACTTTTTGGGAATTAAGAAAAAAGCTATTTTAAATTTTATTTTTTAGTTAGAGTTTACATTCAGTATTATTTTGTGTTAGTTTCAGGTATACAGCGTAGTCGTTAGATAATCATATATACTTTACAAAGTATTCCCCCCCAATATTTCCAGTACCCACCTAGCACCATATAGGTATTACAATATTGTTGACTATACTAGAGGCCCAGTGCACAAAATTCACGCATGAGTAGGGTCCCTAGCGGCTGCTGGCTGCTGGCCAGGGCCTCCCTTTATGCCATGCCACCCCCTGGTGGTCAGCCACATCATACCGAGTGATCAAACTCCAGGTTGAATTCCCAGTGTCCCAGTCGAACTCCCGAGGGGACACTTTGCATATTAGGCTTTTATATCCCCATGACTATTTTCTTTCTGTACTTCTTTTTTATATTTAAATTTAATTTTTACTAAATTTATTGGGGTGATATTGATTAACATCATCATATAAGTTTCAGGTGTTAGTTTCTGTGTTTGAAGATCTGTATATTGCACCATGTGCCTACCACCCAAACAACCCATACTTCTTAATTCCTTCACCTATTTTGGGAATTTTTTTAGGAAGATTTTTGTTGAGTGCAGAGAGGAAGGGAGAGAGAGAGATAGAAACATCAGTGATGAGAGAGGATCATTGATTGGCTGCCTCCTCCATGCCCCACACTGCAACCCGGATTGAGCCTGCAACCTGGATTGAACCTGCAACCTGGGCATGCGCCCTGACTGGGAACCAAAACATGACCTCCTGATTCATAGGTCGATGCTCTCAACCACTGAGCCATGCCAGGCCTCTTTTGGAAATTTGAAGAATTGTTTGCAAGAAAACCAGAGACCTATCTGGATATGGGTTGTGTTGATTACTTTAGAATGTAACTATTTTTCACTGTACTAGATTTCTTTTTTCTGACTCTAGGAGAAATTGCCATTCTTGGTGGTGTAGGAGAACAGAATGAAAAATTGTGGAGCTTTACCAAAAAGGCCTCCCACATTCAGTTGGACAGGTAAGAGTTAATGTCTTTGGGGTTTACTTTTAAGCATCTAAACCAAGCATGTCAAACTCAAACATGGGCCAAACAAACAAGGTTTAAGTTTATGTGGGCTGCAAAAAAACACAAAAGCTTCAGTTTTCATAGAAACCTACTGACCACCCAGTAGGTTTATTTTAGTAAAGACATGCTGAATACAAAGGGCTGAAATAAATAATTGTTAACATAAAATAATAGAACACTTTAATAAAAATTAATCTTTTTTATTGAATATTAACTTACCAGACACCGATTAATTGCACAAATTAATAAGCGTAATGCAAATAAACATATTTTTCTAGTTCTCTGAAAGTGAAATATTTCCTGTTATACAGACCAAACAAGTCAGTCCAAGACTAATGATGTGGCCATCAGCTGCTAAAATATTCACTGCTGTTATTAGTGGAGAGAAATGGTGCACCTGTGCATAAGGCACATGAGGGAAATGAATGCAACATGATTATAGTAATCAGTCATTAGCGAATATTGTAGTTCATTATTAATAATTATAACAGGATATTGTAAAAATTAAGTTACAATTTTTTAATTAAAATGTTTCTTACATACTATTATATTGGCTAGGCCGCAAATATATGTGGCCTGTGGGCCATGGGTTTGGCATGCTTGATCTAAACTGCCTTTTTACTCATCCCCTGTTAAAGATTTTGACTAAGGGAGAAAGAGAATATATTTTTTAAGGTTTCACTGCTCATTACCAATATTACTAATATAAAATAGTTGTGATTGAGAGATGCAAATCAAAACAACAATGCAGTACCATCTCACACCTGTCAGAATAGCCAACATCAACAAATCAACAAACGACAAGTGTTGGCGAGGTTGCAGAGAAAAAGGAACCCTTGTGCTCTGCTGGTGGGAATGCAGACTGGTGCAGCCACTGTGGAGAACAGTATGGAGTTTCCTCAAAAAACTGAAAATGGAACTCCCATTTGACCCAGTAATCCCACTCCTAGGAATATATCCTAAGAAACTAGAAACACCAATAAGAAAGGATATATGCACCCCTATGTTCATAGCAGCACAATCTACTATAGCCAGAATTTGGAAACAGCCTAGGTGCCCATCAGCTGATGATTGGATCAAAAAACTATGGTATATCTACACAATGGAATACTATGCTGCCATAAAAAAGAAGGAATTCTTATCATTTGCAGCAACCTGGATAGAATTAGAGAACATCATGCTGAGTGAAATAAGCCAGTCAATGAAAGAGAAATACCACATGACCTCACTCATTTATGGATATTAAAGAACATTATAAACTGATGAACCAAAAGACAGATATAAAGACAGTAAAGCAACAAGCAGACTGTCAAATTACAGCAGGGAGGGTAGGGAGATCTGGGGGAGAGAAGAGATCAACCGAAGGACTTGTATACATGCATATAAGTACAACGAATGGACACAAAACTCTGGGAAGGGAGAGTATGTATGGGAGGGGGGGCAATGTTAAAATATGTACACAGGTAATAATTTAAAATAAGTAAATAAAAACAAACAAACACCAAAAAAATAAAAATAAAATAGTTGTGATTGCAATTTTTGGTATAGTATCATTATAGATTTTCTTCGATTTTTTTTAATTAAATTTATTGGAGTGACATTGGTCAACATGAACATACAGGTTTCAGGTGTGGGTTTCTATGTTGCAAGAGCTATATATTGAACCATTCTCAGTTATGTGAGAACCATGTACTCACCACCCAAAGTAAAATCTCCTGTCAACATATATTAGGATCCTCTTCTCCTCTTACTCTCTTCCCAGATTTTTTTCAATTCTAATGTGTAATAGAATTGTTAAATTTTTAATGATTTGAACAGTACATTTTAACTGGGTCATATCTCAATAAAACAGATCTTTTGTTATAAACTTGACAACTGTGATTCTACCAACTTTTTTTTTTTAATCTTTTTGCTTATATTTATTTGGGAATAGAATCTTTATGTAATGTCTTGTAAAGTCCCCACTACCATGAGCATTATTTACTGGGAGCGTCTGCATCCTTATAGTATGTGACTGATGTAAAATATTCCTTGTTGTTGTTTTTTTGAATCCTCACCCAAGGATATGTTTATTGATTTTAGTGAGAGGGAGAGAGAAACATCGATCAGTTGCCCCCCGGTACCACCTAGGGATTGAACCCAAAACCTGGTTATGTGCCCTAACTGGGAATTGGACGTGCCACCTTTTGATGTATTGGACAATGACAATACTCCAACCAACTGAGCCACACCAGCCAAGGCTGTATTATTATTATTTTTAATAAGAGAAAGTTTATTTAGAAAGTCACAGAGGTAGAAGAGAACTATGGAATCATTGGGCTTTGGAAACAAGTTACAGAGGCAAAAGAAGGGCCTTGGAGCTTAGGAGAGAGACAAGGAAAAGATGCCTGGGGGAAGGGAGTGTGTGTTGTGCTCCAGAGTGAGAGCCAACCCTTGGAATTTTTTTTTGGAGGGGGAATGGGGTGCGGGGGGGGGGGGGGGGGGGACGCCAAGGGAGGGTGTTAATTCTCCTCCAAGGATTTTTTTCCATTAATTTTAGAAAGTGGAAAGGAGAGAGATAGTGGGAGAGAGAAAGAGAGAGACATCAGTGAGAGAGACACATCGATTAGTTGCCTCCTGCATACACTCCAACCGGGCTGGGGATCAAACCCAAGACTCTGTGGTGTCCTGGCCAGTGTGCTCTAACCATTGAGCAACACTGGCCAGGGCTGCTCTTGTATTTTTAACTCTTAGTTAAAAGCCTCATAAACACATGAACTTTGTTTCCTCAGCTTACCAGAAGTGCCTTTACTGGTTGATGTGCCATGTTTATCTGCTCAGTTGGATGACTCAATTCTTAACATAGTGAAAGACCACATTTTTAAGCATGGAACTGTAGCATCTCGCCCACCAGTCCAGATAGAGGAACTAATAGAGAAGCCTGGAGGCATCATTGTGCGATGGTGTAAGGTAAGTAATTCAGAATTATGGAAGTGGCTTCAACATTATGAGTTTGAGAGTTAGGAGCCTTAAAAATTTTTTTCTTAAATATGTTTTTAAAAATATATATATTATACAGAGAGGAAGAGTAATAGAGAGTTAGAAACATCGATGAGAGAGAAACATTGATCAGCTGCCTCCTGCAGCCCCCCCAATTTGGGATGTGCCCACAACCAAGGTACATGCCCTTAACCAGAATCAAACCTGGGACTCTTGAGTCTGCAAGCCGATGCTCTATCCACTGAGCCAAACCAGTTAGGGCTCTTAAATACGTTTTTATTGATTTCAGAGAGTAAGGGTGAAGAAGAAAGGGATAGAAACATCAATGATGAGAGAGAACCATACACCTCCCACTAGGAATTAAGCCTTATGCCCAGGCATGTGCCCTTGACCGGAAATCGAACCATGACTTCTTAGTTTATGGGTCAGTGCTCACAGGTTGGGGAAATTACTTTTTAAATGACCACTTTTGAATATTTTCTTCTCTTCATAAACAAAAATACAATTAAAGTCACAGGGATTTTGAACTGAGATAGCTCTTCCATTTTGAGATAAATAGTTTTAAAAGTTCTTTTTAAAATCCCTGAATCACTATATCTGTTTCTCAGTTGTAACTCTTACCGAGTTAAGGATTGCTCCCATTTCTGTTTATTAGGAAATTCAAATGATGGTAGTGAATATTGGGTGTCTGGTAGCTTTCTGGTCAACACTCAACTAATATCTCTGAAATAAAATGTCCAAAGAATGATTTCTACACACTCTCAGCGTTGCTGAGATTGTGTGTGTTAATTTGGTTATATAGATGAGCTACCATATTTTATTTTATTAATCCTCACTCGAGGATATTTTCCATTGATTTCTAGAGAGAGTGGAAGAGAGGGGGAGAGACACAGAGAGAAACATCCATGTGAGGGAGACACATCGATTGGTCGTCTCCCACACGAGCCCTGACCAGGCCCGGGGATGCAGCCCACAGCCAGAGCACGTGCCTGGGAATGGAACTGTGACCTCCTGGTTCACGGGTCGATGCTCATCTACTGAGCCACGCCGGCTGGGCCAGTTGTGGGATTCTTATCCTTGAATTTTTAATGTCTTATCTTCGGCATTATTGTGTAGAAATCACGCCACTTCATCGAAAGCAGATTTTTTTCATATCGGATTGGGAGGTTTATTGAACACATGGTTCAATAAAGAAAAGAAGGGACTCAGTGATGGAATATTTTCTATGATCTTCCTGAGAAGAGCCTGTATTTAGTATATTCAGCACATGGGCTTGTATGCTTGGCCCAAAATGCCACATTCAAGGTTCTTTTTATTTTTTTATTTTTATTGATTTCAGAGAGGAAGGGAGAGAGGGAAAGAGAGAGAGGGAAACATCACTGATGAGAGAATCAATGATCAGCTGCCTCCTGCACACCCCCTACTGGGGATTGAGCCCAAAACCCTGGCATGGGCCCTTGACCAGAATTGAATCTGGGACCTTTCAGTCCACAGGCCGATGCTCTATCCACTGACCTAATCTGTCTAGGGCCACATTCAAAGTTCTTAAACAGTGATGCCGAGAGAAATTACTCCCTGTTGTTGACCTAACACAAAGTCTTTCTTCTTAGGTGGATGATGACTTTACAGCCCAAGATTACAGACTCCAGTTCCGTAAATGTACTTCAAATCATTTTGAGGATGTATATGTGGGCTCTGAAACGGAATTCATAGTATTACACATAGACCCCAATGTTGATTATCAGTTCCGAGTCTGCGCCCGAGGAGATGGCCGACAGGAGTGGAGTCCTTGGAGCGTCCCCCAGATAGGTCATTCCACGTTGGTGCCGCATGGTATGCCCTTGCCTTCTCACTTCTGAGCTTAACTGTGTGTAGGAACACTTGTTTTTTGTACTCAAGGTCGCACACTCACCACCCTTGTTTCTAAGGCTTACCTTTGGATTGATGAGAACACAGGACGTGTCTTTCACTACCTGCTCAAATTACCTCATGTGACTTTTACAAAAAATTCAACAGATCTTATCTCCAGAGTTTAAAATAGTGCCACCCCCGATTGGTAGCATTCCCTAAAATCACAAATTTTAAATATTGCATCAGGAAACTGCAGGATTTTTTTTTTTTTTTAATATATTCTTATTGATTTTAGAGAGGAAGGGAAGCGGGGAGAGAGAGAAGCATCAATGATGAGAGAGAATCATTGATCGGCAGCCTCCTGTTTGTCCCCTACTGGGGATCGAGCCTGCAACCAAGGCATGTGCCTTTGACAAGAATCAAACCTAGGACCTTTCAGTCTGTAGGCCAATGCTCTTTCTACTGTGCCAAACTGGCTAGGGCCGTGGTCTGCAAACTGCGGCTCGTGAGCCACATGCAGCTCGCAAGGCGCAGTTTGCTGCTCTCTTGACTAATGAGTTTGCCGACCACTGGGATAGGGGCTTAATCACAGGGAACAACAGCCTATAATTATTAGAATCGAGAGTCTAAGTCAGTGGTCGGCAAACTCATTAGTCAACAGAGCGGCAGACCACGGCTCACGAGCCTCGTGCGGCTGACGAGCTGAAGTTTGCCGACCACTGGGCTAGGGCATGGACACTGCAGTGTTTGGTCCAAATGTTCAGCGTACATCTGAGTAGAGGCTTTTTCTCTAAAGCTGTATGGTTGACATTGATCTCTTCTACACTGAGTGGCCAGATTATTATGATCTCTGAATGCATAATCATCTGGCCACTTAGTGTATATCCTATATAATAAAAGGCTAATATGCAAATTGTCCCTTTGACAAGGAGTTCGACCAGCAGGCAGGCCAGCCAACTGCCCATGTCCTCTCCCCCTGGCCAGGCTGGCCGGACCCCACCCATACATGAATTCATGCACTAATGTATTAATGTATATAATGTATTAATGTGTATATATATATACACACACACATACACACACACACACACACACACACACACACACACTGTGGCCAGATTATTATTCATTCAGAGATCATAATATAATAATCTGGCCACTCAGTATATATTACTAGTTTAATGGATTCCGACTCATTTGTTAAGTTCTTAATCAGGTTAGAGTAAGCTCAAATGTGATTTTATCAGATAGGCGATAACACTTTTATCTTCCATGCTAGAATTGTTTAAGAATAGACTAAAAGTGTTTTTATGGTTTGTAGGATTAACCATAATACCCTGTCATGGAAAAATCTTTTATTAAATTTCCTCATGATCCTCTAAGAGTAGTCTCTTCTACTTCCAAGTCTTTTTTAATGTGTCTGTACTGAAGCTAGTCCTGAAAAGATCCTAATAGTTTTCAATGTCTTTGCTTTTTAAAAAGAATGGACAGCTGGCTTTGAGGGGTACAGTCTGAGCAGTCGAAGAAACATAGCACTCCGGAATGATTCAGAATCCTCAGGTGTTCTCTACTCCAGCGCTCCAACCTATTTCTGTGGGCAGACATTAACGTTCAGGCAAGTAGATGTTATGATATCTGTCTGTTGTGGCTTAAGCAGGATAATGAAGAATATATATAAGCTTCAGATCAAAATTGTCCTGAGATTATCCCATCATTTATAGGCAGTCGTACTTTGAGGAGATTTCTTTATTTCTCTTTGCTTCAGTTTCCTCATGTATTCATAGGGTTATTATGAAGATTAACTGAACACAAAATGCATTGTTTATGTTTGATACATAGTATGTACATATTATGTTTAGGTCTCTTTTCTTCTTGGTAAATAGAGGCAAGTAGAATACCTCTCACAAGTGAGCCTTAAAAAATGTAGAGGAAAAAGAAGGAACTTTTACCATTTGCAGCAGCATGGATGGACCTGGAGAGCATTATGTGAAGTGAAATAAGCCAGGCAATGAAAGAAAAATACTACACGATCTCACTCATTTATGGAAAATAAAGAACATTATAACCTGATGAACAATAAGATAGATGCAGAGGCAGTAAAGCACCAAACAGACTGTCAAATTACAGTGGGAAGGCTGGGGAGTGTTGGAGAGGGGGGAAAAGATCAACCAAAAGACTTGTATGCATGCATATAAGCACACCAATGGACACAAGACACTGGGTGTAGGGGTGGGATGAGGGCATGTGACAGAGTAGGGGAGGCTGGGGGAAGGTCAATGGGGAAAAAGAGATATATGTACTACTATATGTAATACTTTAAACAACAACAAAAACTTAGAGGCACAGAATTTTCTTTTTGTAGTTTTGAATCAATCAAATCAGGTCTCTATGAGAGACAGCCAACCAGTGTAAACCTACTATATAGTACATAATTCTCAGAAAAAAAAAACAAAAACAAACTAAAAACAAATCTCTGCTAGTACCAATTAATTTTCTATTTCTTTATCGCTTCCTGTATTAGAAAAATTTTCTTTTTTGTGTTTTTATGTTATCTGAGATATACTCTCTATGGTCATATTTCTAAGTAGCTCTTCCTACAAACCAAAGTTCAGTTTTGATTTTAAAGCATAAAGCTTGCCTGATGTTCACCATACTCACAGAGTAGCAAACTCTCTTCTGAGTTTTACCTTTTTTTAATTTTTATTTTATTTACTTATTTATATATATATATATTTTTATTGATTTCAGAGAGGAAGGAAGAGGTATAGAGAGATAGAAACATCAATGATAAGAGAGGATCATTGATTGGCTGCTTCCTGCTTGCCCCTATTGGGGATCAAGCCCACAATCCAGGCACGTGCCCTCGGCCAGAATCAAACCTGGGACTCCTCAGTCCCCAGGCTGATGCTCTATCCACTGGCTAGGGCTTACCTTTAAAAAAAAAAAAAAAAAATCAGTTTTACTGATTTCAGACAGAGGGAGTAGGAGAGAGATGGAAACATCTATGTGATCAGCTGCCTCCTGTACACCCCCTGCTGGGCATCAAGCCCAAAACCCGGGCATATGCCATGACCAGGAATCGAACCATGATCTGGTTCATGGGTTGATGGGCAACCATTGAGCCACACCAGCCGGGCTAAGCTTTAACTCTTGAGATTATGAAATTTTATTATGAATTCTTATTCCAGGTTCATCCTGTTCTGTGCCTTGTTTTGTAAGATATGGACAGTATCTGAAATATTATCTAAGCCAGTGGTCGGCAAATTCATTAGTCAACAGAGCCAAATGTCAATAGTACAATGATTGAAATTTCTTTTGAGAGCCAAATTTTTTAAACTTAAACTTTTAACGCCACTTCTTCAAAATACCCAGGCCATGGTATTTTGTGGAAGAGCCACACTCAAGGGGCCAAAGAGCCAAGTTTGCCGACCACGAAGCTAAGCTAATGCTCTGTTCTTCACCGGCCAAGTCATTTGAATTGTCAGCAGTTATCAGAATGTACTAGTTATGCGTTCTCTCATTCTTTTTTTTCTTTTCTTTTCTTTTTTTTTAAAATATATTTTATTGATTTTGTACAGAGAGGAAGGGAGAGAGATAGTTAGAAACATCGATGAGAGAGAGTCATCGATCAGCTGCCTCCTGCACACCCCCTACTGGGGATATGCCCGCAACCAAGGTACATGCCCTTGACTGGAATCGAACCCGGGACCCTTCAGTCCCCAAGCCGACGCTCTATCCATTGAGCCAAACCGGTCTCGGCAGTGTTCTCTCATTCTTTATACCTTCTCTCACCTCTTATGTTAAGAAGGAGTTATTAAGTCATCCATCTTTTCTTTATAATGTAAGGGGAGAGAAGAAGTATCAGAAAGAAAAATAAGGAGTCTAGTGCCTCAAGCCTATATAATTAGTCCCCAAGTAATCATGAGATTTCTATACTAACATACCCCCTCTTTGTTTATTTTTCTTTATAAAAATACTTGCATTAGGGAATCTCCTGAGAACAAGGTACTTTTATGTAATTGTAGGGCTTCCTAAGTTGATAGATTTAAGCCAGATGTCTCAGACCATAGTAAGAAAAATAATCATAGAAATAATAATTGTAGTTAATATTTCAATAGCATTTTCTATGTGCCAGGTACTGGTTCTAAACACTTTACGTGTGTTGTCACCAGACAGGGCCTGAGCCTAGAGTGGGTCTGCCTCAGGCTGGTCTGCAGTGTGTGGGTTCTTGACTTTGTGCAGGAAAGATTTCATAAAACGAGTCCAAGTGATTTTGAGAGTTTGTATATTAAAGCTGGGGACTGTGAAACAAAGGAAGGGCTTAGGGTGGAAGAAGCAGCAGGAGAGAGCCTAGGTGGTGCTCGGCTTTGGCTCCCGAGAGACAAGGGAAGTGAGCTAGCACAGGGCTTCTGTTAGCTCACTGGGAGGTGAAGGTCATGGTGATAAAAGTGAGAGCTGTTGTTAGCTCACTCGAAAGTTAGAGAAAATGGGACCTTGGGATAGTATGGGGGGGTAAGCCCAGGATGAGCTGTTGCTGCCGACCGCTTCCCTGGTTGCAAGTCTTGTGTGGATCCTTAGACTTTAAGAGGAAGTGAAAAGTATATTCTAGCCCTAACCCATTTGACTCAGTGGATAGATCATTGGCTTTCGGACTCAAGGATCCCAGGTTCGATTCCAGTCAAGGGCATGTACCTGGGTTGTGGGCACATCCCCAGTAAGGGGTGTGCAGGAGGCAGCTGATTGATGTTTCTTTCTCATCAGTGTTTCTAACTCTCTCCCTTCCTCTCTGTAAAAAAATCAATAAAAAATATATTTTTAAAAAAGTTCATTCCCAAGAAGAGGCATAGGTGTGCTCTAGAGCGAGCTGGCGCTGGTATTTTTTGTCTTAAGGGTTTATCTCTCTTGTGCTTGTGAGAACCTTAGGGAAGGGTTTCATCAGAATATTCATCAGCCTTCCAGGTGTGATTTTAATATGCTGATCATCAAAATGAGTGTATAGGGGAGTTTGGGATTATTCTTTGGTCTACTTTACTGTTTTACTTTTATCTTGGGTCTGTCTGGCTCTATTTGAGGTTTTGTTGTTTGTTCCCTGAGTTTATCTGTCCTTGGGTTTGGCTGGCACAAATGGCATTAAATTGGGTCTCTGTCCTCTATCTCCCTGACCAGCGTGATTCAAGCTCTTTATTCTCTGGTAGGGAGGAGAGGTATAAACCATTTGCTCTCAAGTGCCCTTGGTTAGGGAAGATAAGGCCTTGCGATTCACTAGCTGTCTGTAAGTTGTCTACATTGTTTGGCCTTGTTTAATTACCATGTCTCAGTTTCTCCATTCCACTTGCCCAGGAATTTTCCTAGCTTCTTACTATCCTGCCTTAGTATTAACTCATCTGATTCTCACAATAATCCAGTGAAATATGTGCAGTTATCATATTAATGCTAAGACATGGAGAAGTCACTTACCCACCGTCATGAAGCTAGTAAATGTCAGAGTTAGGGTTTAAATCTAGGCAGTCTGCCTCCAGATCTGTGTCTTCCTGGGAGAGTAAACATAATTCTAATTAGTGCTGAGATCTGTAGTTTTCCTGTTACAGTAGCTTTAGTTCCTTTTGTTTTTCCTCTTACTGACCATTATCTGTGGTTGATGGTGTCCTGCTTTTAAATCCTTTCTCTTTGAACACAGAAAAGGTCTGATAGATGGCATACTTAGATTTGTTTCTCAGGTCATTTAATAAATAGCTGTGGATTTTATTTATTTATTTATTTATTTATTTATTTTACATTTTTTTAATAGCCGTGGGTTTAATTTAAATCCTCTTACTATCTGTGGACTATAGGCCTCCATAAATCACTCCTTATTTCCTGCCTCCTCCCCAAAAGGTGCCAGACTGGGCCCCACTTGGCAGGGTAATTATCTGAAACTTAGTTAAGCTCAGTATTTTCTTAGCCAGACCTTTGCATTTTTGTCATTTTTTCCCCCCTCTGAATTGGAAATGAAAATGTTTTCTCTCCTTGTTTAAAAGAATTTCAGGCACCAGCATTAATAGACTTAATGTCAGAAAATGTGATTTGGGGGGACAGGAGGGAGGAAACGATAGGCCTACTTATTAAAGGCAAACTTTACTTCGTTTTTTTAGGGTGTTTGAGGGCCTCTTAGAAGAGTGTATTCCTGTGGGCACTGCCCTGTTGCTCAGCCCAGTCTACTTCCTGCTGCAGTTTCTGCAATGCTTAGAGCTGCTGAAGCCAAAGAAACCACTTACAGCCTGGCTCTACAGCCCAGGTTCATTTGGTGCCCAGGTCTGCTAGCAACCCCCTCCTTCCAGGCCTCTCCCGGATTTCCTGTCTGAGCATTCCTGCTTTCCCTTTCCTTGCTTCTAAGATAACCTATCTTATTGTTTTCAAGCCATATGTTTACTTTCTCTTCTCTAATACTTATTTTCTTTAAAATAGCTTCCTTTTAAGCAGCCTTCCTTAATCCTAATAGCCTCAGAAGCTGTCTTCCTTTGTAGGGGTGTCGAACTCAATCAGAGAAGGGGCCAAAATCTAAAATCCAGCCTAAATCGCGGGCCGAATGGTTTACTGAACAGTCATAAACTGTCATTGTGATGGAAACGCAGCGGA